GGAAGTGGTGACATTGGAGCTAAGCCTTAAAGAATGACATGTGCAGTGGAGACACAGGAGACAAGCATTCCTGGAAGGTGGGATGACCCATGGAGTGGACAGTGGGTAGCTGTAGGAGCACAGCAGGGTGGGACTCCGTGAAGCAGGCAAGGTGAGTTGGGGACAAGCAGTGAAGGGGCTCACTACATAGTTGGGACTTTTACCCAGTGGGGAACAGTTGCAGGATTTTAACTGAGAGGTAACAATCAGATCTTGGCTTTCAGGTTACACTGGTGGCTGTGTGGAGGAAAAACTCAGGGGAGACTGGGGAAAGGCACAAGTGGCCTCCAAGTTAGAGTTGGAAAGACCCTTCATATCCCTTAGAATCCCCAAGGGAACATTACAATTAGGTTCCAAGGAGCTCCTAAGTACTAGAATCTTTCTCCCTCAGCCCCTCCAAAATGATGCTCTCATTCTACATCAAGGATATCAAGGGCACTGCCTTATTCTTTAGCTGGCGATCATTACCTTTGCAGGGGGGGGGGGGGGGCAATGGCTTTTTGTGTATATTTCCTTAGAAAATTTGAGGTGATCAGAGTCATAGAAGAAATGAAGTCCAGAGGACATATATCCTGAGGCCATCCAAAACTGTTCACAATCAACTGACAAAGAAGACCTCGATTAGAGGGAGATCCAGTGACAAATTGTCATTTCTTTCCTTCCAGAGAATGCTTTGAACTTAGAAGAAACATTTCTGCACAAACTAAGCTATGAAAAACAGAGTGTAAATGTACTTCCCTACATTTCTTAGGGTTTTCCTATATTCGTGGACTCTGAGTAAAGAATTTTATTTAGCCTCAAAAGTGGCATCACGATACCCGCAGTCAAAAAAAAAAAAAAAAGTTTTGTGTTCATTTCCTAAGATTTACTTCCAAAATAAGAAGAAATGAAGGATGAATATTTGCTCCTGTTTCTACATATTCTTTCATGAGGTCTGAATGTTGTTGCTGAAATGTGAAATAATTTGTAGTAGCTTGTCTTCTGTCATTTAAACAAACGGTCCCTCACGTCTTACTAAATCAGAATCTACCTCTAGGAGAAGGGCCCAGGAATCTGTCTTAACAAGCTCCCAGCTCTTCTAGTCTATTGCCTCCACAACTTTAAGCATCCACATAATCTTTGCCATGTTCACATTGCCGTTTTGCTATTACTCAACTTGTTTTAGATTAATTAAATTTAAAATATCAGTCATCTTAAGCAATATATCCAATAAAACATGCGTTTGAAGCATTTTTTAAAAATTTACATCAAACTATTTTAAAAATCCATCTGTGGACCAACTGAGTCAGCTCCTGCACTGCCCAACCAACTACCGCCACTCAAAAATGCAAGTTTGAGAAGAGTGGGCTCAGCCACTGCGGGGCCCAGTGCAAATGCAGCCAGACTTTGGCACCTCATCTCTCTTCTTCCAGGACCCCTTTTCCTAGGACTAGGTGCCAGATGTAAATTCTCCCCTTCTCCTTCCCCTGCCCACCCCCTGAGGTCAACCCCAACCAAGATCGCTTTTTCTCAGGGGGCTATACCTGAACTCAGAACAGTGTTGCCAAAGCATGCTAATGGATATTAAAATATAATGTGGTGATGGACAGCGGGTTTAAACTTTAACATGCTAAAGCGCTTTGTTACCCAAGAGTGGAACTCTTTTTCTCAAGCAGATATGTCCATAGCCCTTTACGTCCTGCAGCTGGTGAGACACGCTGCCCTACTCTCCACCCCTCACTCACTTTGCTACAGCCACTTCGTATTTTTTAGTCCTTGGAATATAACTTTTTGTCTCATAATATACAAGCTTCTTCCCGCCCCAGGGCCTTTGCAGTTGGTGGATTCCTTCCACCAGATCTTCATGTGGCTGCCGCCTACACATTCTTTTGGTTTCAACTTAAATGTCACCTGTTTCCCAGAGGCAGCCCATGACCAACGAGCTGAAGCTGTACCACTTCTCACCTGCGCCCCCAGATACCCTCTATCACAGCGCTTCTCAACCAGCAATGGTGGTGCCCTCAACAGACATTTTCAGGTGTCACAACCGGAGGGTGTGACCCATCTAGTGTGCAGAAACCAGGGATGATGCTAAATAGCTTACAGTGCACAGCACTGCCCACTGCAACAAAGTTTTCTGGCCCCAAATGTCATGGTTGAGAAGCCAGTCTCTACCACGATATTCTCTCTCTGTCTTTTTTTTTTTTTTTAAGCATTAATCAGTACCAGAAATAATGGTTTTTGTGTTTCTTCCCTAAATTGGAGCTCCTTAGGAACTGGAGTTCAGGATTGTCTTCTGCTATATCACCAGCACCTAGAAGAGTATCTGGTGCCTACTTGACTCTCAACAATTTTTGGCCCACTTTGACCTTGCCCTGAGAGTCTACCACAGGTTGAAAAGGCTTGGCCCACATTAACTGATGAACCCGAGAATAAAGTAAGTTAGTTTTCAGAATGAATAAAGCCACTTTTATTAACAAATATACATACAATTTTACAAGTGAAATTAGACAACCATTAGTCTCTCACACTTTCATGTACTTATAAAATCATTCTATCTTTACATCTATCAGTGAATGACTGGTTCTGCTACTTCTTAAAGATGTGCAAAAATTTTAAAATTTAAATATACAGTCTTTATACCAGTGTCCTAATGTCCCAAGACAGATTGTAGTTAACAGAATCTCAATGGTATCTCAAAGGATCAAAAATAACAACAAAAATTCAATACAGTCTAGAAGGTTGACATATTTACAGAAAAAAAAATTCATATTAACTAAATTCCTCCCCTTCTTACCTATTCTCCCTCTCAATTATTGACAATGTTTTTCTAAAGTATAAGATGAGAGCCAGATTACTCACCATCAACTTTGTCAATAAATAAACATTTTTTTAAAAATAATTATACCGTGCAACAAGAGATTTATGAACGTAACACCATTGAAATTATTTACTGAGCACTAATGCTAGATCTGCTATTACTACAAAATCTACCGGGGAAAAATCTTGCATTTCTGATTTCTGTAGTGTTTTTCACTGTTCAAAGACTTCTTTGAACAAGTAATATTTCTTTGACAAGTAATATTTCATTGGCATTACCACTATATACCAAAGCATGAAAATGATTATATCTAAGAGATGAAAAAAAAATTAGGCATAAAGAACAATTTGCCCTTAGACCCTATTCTTAATCCTGTATACTAACTAAGTATAGTTTCCCCTATGCCCCATATATTCTGTTTCACAGAATGCTACTAGTCATTGTGCTCATGTGTTCAAACAAGTTTTGGAAATGTTGGATTAAACAAAATTAACCAGGTTCCCAGAGCCTTTAATGTGCATCATAAATCTGCAGGAAGTAAATGGAGAATAGAGCAAGCATCATAAACTCAAAGAGGCACAGGCACCACCAAGCAGGTAACAAAAGTGAATAGACAGGGAAGGCAAAGAGCTGAAGGGCATGGACCCAGCTAGTCGGGCTCTGATCACACAAGAATGCAGCCCAATCTTGCCAAGCCTCTCCAAAGCAACTACAAATCTGGGTTTAATTTCAAATCTCCAGGTTTATGCATGTTGCCTTGAATTAAAGAAAAAGAAAATGCTGTAGTTGGAGCAAAATTAATTTTTAGACCAGATTAGGCTGGCCCCATTTGGGACAGCTGGTATATCATGTATCTCAATCTTATTTGCCCACAGAACCTTCATACAGAGGACCTACTTATTTCCTAGAACTCTTCAGAATAGTGTTAAAAATGTTGTCTTTGAGGGCAAGCATCCTGCCCTCCTAGACCACTATGGTGTGAGTAGCTCTGAACCTTAAGTGTGAATAATTTCAGGGCTTACTCAAATTGAAATTGAAATTAATATCCAGCCTTGTTAACTCTTCATGGAGAAATGCTTCTCTTCTGATAATGCTAGCTCTTGCAAGTCTACACTTCTAAACAATCACACCGTGACTGAAGATATCCTTACAATAAGCCTTTGTTTAACTCTCTTGGCAAAACCAAAAATTTAATTGAATTGTGAAAAATAGCAATGTGATTCATAAGATATGAAGACCCTCTACCCTTCTGAAACAATTTTAAATATAAAAGTGATTTGAAGACAATTTTAAAATTTAGAGTTTTGGGTGAAACTAATGATACTTTCAAACACTATCATATTTGCATTGTAAATTTTCAAAGGCAGAAAACCTTTCCCCTATTCCCTCCTTTTTTTTTTTTTTAAATTCATTTCTGCCCTGCTCATTCTAAAAATTAGTTCAGAGATCCTGATGGTTGTTTATATAAGTGCCTAGCACCAGGGCACAAATGTAGTAGAAACAGCATAAATGTGTTGAATCATATGGCAAATGATTTCCTTCCCCTGGTGTCTTTTTGGTTTGTACTCACTACCATAACTTCTTAGACTGCTAAATAAAATAGCCATTCTCATCCAAGGATCAAGCACTTAATGCATCATATTTCCGGAGCCATGAGAAAACAGATATACCTGTAATAGTAAAATTAGACTCATTTCTATTTCTCTACAGAGAAAATAAAAATCTGTACACCCCTACTAATTGAAACCTTTGAAGAATGTAAGACATGTAGCATTTGGAGTTACAATACGAAAACATGAGGTAATCGTGAAATGCTTCCAAATGAAGTTCCAAGTCAGATTTGCTGATTTTTAAGTCCTATTCCCCTCTTCTGGACAGCTTTGGTGGCCAAGAAAATGTTCACTTCTTGTATTCCCAATGAAAATTCTCTTTGATGCATACAGGATTCATAGGGAGAACATACAATTCTAAAGTGTTCATGTTTTGGAGAGAGCTCTGCAATAACTGGAGAGACTGAGCCAGTTTTAGTACAAAAGAATTAGGACTATATTAACAATAAGGTTGACAGAGATTTGAGCTGTCACTCTACCTAATATCGCTGATGTGCTGGAGTGCCAGATGAAACAGACACAGAAAAGTGGTCCTGGAGTTTAAAAGGCATTTCACATGGTGATATATATCTGGTCACAGTCTTCTGCAGTCATGGGCATAAAACCTCTAAGAATGCCACTGGGTCTTAATCCATGACGTAAAGATTATCCTCAATAATGTAGATATTGTCTTGGGCTTGGACTCGCACTTCGGCGGCACTCTGCAAAGCTCTAGTCTGAGGGCCTTTGAACACAACCGTCCTGCAGGAAGAGTTGTTAAAGAATCACATGAGTAAAATGAAAGCAGACCACTTCTAAAATACGAGCAGCACTTTTGTTCACTATCAGGCAAGAGTGGGCATTTGTGACTCTAGGAGCCCCATTCACACAAACTATGAAACAAATAGTGCCTTCCAGAGTTATGAAAAGGGTGGCCCCAAGTATAAGGTTGCAGGAAAGTCTGTTTAATAAGCACATGGACAACCCAAGAAGTGTTCAAAATATTCACTCTGGTCTGCTTAAGGAGACTTGCATAATAGAATACAAAAATGGAGAATCTAAAAAAAATTGATATCTAACATCAAACTGAGTTACTAAATCAAGACACATATTTTCAAATGTGGTTAAGAACTGGTTGATAGCTATTTTTCCAAATGTGAAATCTGACCTTTCAGAGAGGGTTATTAAATCTACTTAGTGATCAACATCTGTATTCAAGATAAACATAGGATAGAGAAATACTGAATGTAGTCAAATAACAGTGTTTCACAAGTGTTCACTGGATCATGGTGTCAAAAATCTAACCGTGTGCTGGCCAGTTAGATCAGTTGGTTAGAGTGTAGTGTTCATACCCCTGTACCTGCCAGCCACCAAAAAAGAAAAAATCTTACTGTGTCTTATGGTCAAGTGTCAAAAGGGGTGGGTTAGATTACTGTTATGTCACATACACTCACACACACCAAGTGTACAAAAAGGTAGGCACTGGAGATTAAGGGATTAATCTTTTGTAGGGAGCTATTGGTGCTTTGTGGCCTGCCTTTCGTGTGAAGTTACAGAAGGTGCTTTAGTGGGACTATTGGGAGAACTTATTCTGTATCTCCCATTATTTGGGGAGTCACAATGGACTGATATCTGGGTTTCATAGAAATCAGGGAAGTACAAATCAGGGAAGAAAGCAGACTTAACTTTAACTCATGTGTGGTGTTTTGATATAAGCTGGTGTTTTGTAATTTGTATATGGTGGCTGTTCCTATTACCAAAGCCTACCCTGAAAATATGGAACCCGAGACTTCATACAGCCACAAATGAAGAACATTCCCCCACTGATGTATTTAAAGGAACACGAGAGAAAGCTCCTCTATAGTCCTTACATGGATCAGTCACATGTGTGAAAATACTTATGTTAGGTGTCATTAAGCTCAAATGAGTCAGTGTGATATAACTGCCGAGAAGATAATATCATGAGGAAATGATCATAATCTGTTAAACAGTGTATATTTTTTCTTTTTGCATTTTTATATTTTACATTTTCTACAATATTTTTCATTTATAATTAGGAGATAAAAAGTGAACCTTTTAAAAAAGATAAGTTAGCAGTGCAAGAATAGAAATCAAATAAGTAAAGGATGCTATCTATGCTCCATGCCTACAAGAAGCATTTTCTTTCCATTCTTAGAAGCAGTTAGTCAAAATATTTATGAGTGTGGGTTCCTGAGATTGGGTACTTTATACACTGTGGTGTGATCTTAGATGTCACTAACATTTCTGAACCTGTTCCCAACTTGTAAAATGAGAATAATAATAGTGCCCGTCTCAGGGGTTTATTGCTGTGAAGAGCTTGATTGCAATAATAAAAGCCAATATGTATGGGGCACTTGCAACATGCTAGAGTGTTCAAGGCACATTCTGTGGATTGGCTCATGTCATTTACTCAAACACAGGAAAGTCTGTGTATAAACACCCAATGAAGGAGAACTGGGAATAATGGATGGCAGCCTAAGAGGGATGGATTTTGAATTGAAGAAAGTCCTTGCTTAAAGCCCAATCTGAACCAAATGAAGCAGGCCAGTTGGTTTGGGGACTAAGGAGTTGTGTCCTACCACTGAACAGATTGGGGAAGATAGCCACGTGGCATAGGTGCAGTAGAGGGGATTTAAGTTTTAACTGGGCAGCAGGAGAGACTGAAATATCTTCACAAAGACAGCGAGTGTGAAGTCAGGCAGCTGATGTCAACGAGTGGAGCAGGTTGGGTGTGGAGCAGTAGGAACGATGGGAGCTGGAGAGCTGGGGCATGTGCGCTACCTCAGAGCCACTGTCTGTCCTGCCCCTTCAGCCAGGAATTATCTTCCACCAAGTTTTCTCCTTCCTCGGGGCTTACTCAGCCTGTTCCTGGGCTCTATATTCCCTATAGTGTTTGTCTGAAGCACCTTAAAGGACCCTGTTTATTTGTTTATGTATTTTCTGCCTGTTTTGTCATCTCTTTAGAATAGAGTAGGTAATAAACAGTCAGCAAAACAAAGCATTGAGTAAAATGAAAGAAGAAATCAAAAAACTCATTCGGTGTTCAGTTCCATCAAGCAAGACCTGCAATCTCGTTCTCTTGCTTGAGGTTAGGACTGAGGTGCTCCTTCTGTACCAGTTCTGCCCCGACCCTAGGGAAACACAGAAAGCTAAAAACAGCACCGGCAGGTCTGACAGTGGCAGAGGTGCTCATTAAACTAGATCATCAGGATTCAGGGTATAAAATGGTGAGCGTTTCGAAGAAAAAGAAGAGAGGGACAGAGAAACATTTCACTTTGTTGGACTAGAGTAGGAGCATCAAAAGGTGCTGACAGAAACCCACTGAAGCTTACCTTGCTTGCTGCATCTTGTTTATGATGTAGAAATACTCTAAATCAGAGGGGCAGGGGGGAGTTGAAGAGAAAATTAAACATGTCAGCAAAAGAGTTCATATCCTCTTCCAAACAAGTATATTACTTCTGTTGTTCTTAGACCCTCCCCCAGTAACTTCAGGTAATGCCTTCCCATACCCTCCTTCGAGGCTGTAGAACCCAAACGAGCCCTTCCATGTTCAGCATCTCATTTTTATTAATGGTTTGGTGTATTCACCCACCTATCCTGACTGACTTTAATGCTATTGTTATCTTTTATTTTAACAAAAAAGTCCAGGATTTTTTTGATGGGCAGCTGGAGAGCGGGTGTCAACCAGTATCATCCTAGGCTAACAGAGACATGAGGTCACACTAAGGATCACCTCTATCAAAAGATACCTTTGCCAGACTTTCCATTTCCAGTCATCCCTTCCATCAAGAGGGAAATAAAGAGGGTGTTTTTGGTTGAGGAGGGGAGCATATTTGAATTTCTAAATAATAACTTTTGACAAACCAAGTTCTAAATGATTATGTAAAAACATTCTCAAATTGGCCAAGCATATTCTTAGTTTCCTAAATTTCCTCTTCCCAGATACATGAAGTAAATCAGTAATGGGTTTGAAAACAGTGTCTTGCAAAATAGATGACTGTGGTTCTTTCGTAGGGGGCAGGTTGTACTGAGAGAAACACACACACACACACACACACACACAACTGGCAGAGGAGGGTAAGAAGCCCTGGATGGCTGCCTCTGAAACTTTTTGTTCTAGTCTTAGTCTTGCAATCAATTTCCAAAGTCCCATTTTCTTCTGCTGCTGAATGGGTGCTGTAAAATTTCAACAATATCATCCCCGTAGGGGAAAAAATTTAAATCTTGAAGGAACAGAAGAATAAATATTATATATTACAATGGTTTGTTGGCTTTCAAGTCTCAGCCCTACCCAACAAATTCTGGTTTCCTAGTATTTAATTTCTTTTATGGAGAATTTAAATTTAATTTTTCTACTTAGGGAGTCCATAATTGAAAAATAAAGAACATGGTTAAGAAACAACAGTATTAGGTGAAAAAACCACTAGAATGTAAACTCCATGAGATTTACAGAGATTTATGGCAGAAAATGATCTTTCTTAAGTACATTAAGAACAGTTTGAGATGTCTGTGCACTTACCATATGCCAGACACCATTCTCAGTACTTTGTAGGTACTAATGCATTTAAATCTCCTATCCCCCTCGAGGCAGATGGTATTACCATTTGAATTTTACAAATGAGAATTTCAGGTACAGGGAAGTCACATGAAATCAAAATCACATGATGTATAGAGCTACTTGGACCCAGACAGTTCGGCTATAGGACCTTTGCTTTTAGTCCCTTAGGAACAATCTTGAAATGACTTACTTTTGACAATCACGACAACCAAAACAGCAAGCAACATCAAGGCAAAAATACAGATTCCAACATAGATTCCCTTAGTGGTGGTCATCCATGAATTGTGTGCTGAGGACTCTTGCTAAGGAAACATCAGTAAATTGGAAAAGCATCTTGTTAGAGCTATGGATAGAAAACATTTCCTAGAATAACTTACACAAACACATTTATCTTTATTGGCCCTTGGCTACTTCTGGAACATGAAGACCAAATGATCTGAGGTTGTAACCATATGGTGTCATTCCGAGACAATTTGAAATTCAGAATGTTTATCTTACTTGGGGTGGTATTTATATAGGTGTATACCTTTATCAAAACTCAACCACAGTTAAAACGGATTTGTATGTATTGTATGTAAATTATTTTATCTGTTTTAAAATTCAATAGGATATTGGCCATAAATACATCCCCTGATGATATTAATTGAGGGTTTACATATAAATTGACTTGATCTGATATTATCAGAATGTGCTCATTATTGAATTTCGTCTTTGATTACAGTCCTTATTTTTTTTAACTGTAATTCAAGATTCTGTCTATGTCTATATTAATAAACTTAAAAGTAGCTGTTCACAGACGTGGCCCTGATTAACAATTTAATGCCGTGCAATCAGATAGAAATGTAGAATTGTGTTTAAATCTCCTGGTGCGGATAATGAAGGATCACCACCTCCTGGAGTAAGTCAGAAATGTGCCAGGCATCGTGCTAGACCGCTTTTCGTTGCTTAGCTCTAATACTAAAGAGAACCCCCAAGGTAGGTGTTTTAACAGAAAGGAAGTGGAAGTTGAGAGAGAAGGATCAAGTCTTCCAGCACAAGAGCTCAATCTCTGGAGTCAGAATCCCAGCTCTTCTACTTAGACACTGTGTGACCATGGACAAGTTACTTAGTCTCTCTGAACCTCTGTTTCTGTGTCTGTAAACAGAAGATTCAATAGGACTCTTGGGAAAGGTAGTTTTAGGTCCTTCCTGATAAACACTATGAGGAATACAGAGGGTAACAACATTCAAGCCATCCCTGCTTAGAAGGGATATAGCCAGTGTCTAGAAGGGAAAAGTGTGTTGTATTATCTTGCCTATGAGGAAGGAAGGTGGGCATGAAGTGGGTACATGGAGAAAGGGGTTTCAGGAGCCAGACTCCGCTTTTGTTTTTTAATTATATTACGCAAATAATGCTTGTTCATTTTACAACGTGCTGCTAAGCATGAAAAAGGGAAAACTAAAATAAACCATAACCCTAACATCCAGAAACAAGCAGTATTACCATTTTGCTTCATATACTCTTCTAAAATTGTATTCTTCTAGGATTTTTTCTTTTCTTTTCTTTTTTTTTTTTTGTCTTTTTCCGTGTCCGGCAACGGATCGCAACCCTCAGTGTTGCCCCCATACCGGACCGGGACCGGCAACGGGATTGCAACCCTCGGCGCTGCTCCCGCGCCTCGCTCAGCCAGTGAGCGGGAACCGGTCTGTATGTGGGATCCGAACCCTCGGGCGGGAGCGCCGCCGCGCTTCCCAAGCGGCGCACTATCCAGTGCGCCACCGGGCCGGCCCTAGGATTTTTTCTTAACAGAAACAACTACTATATTCTATATATACTACACACACACACACACAAATATATATAATTTTTAAAATTGCCTTTTTATTCAGTTATTGCTTAGCTAGAAAAAAAAGTTGCCTTTTTCACTTAATCTATTGTAACCCACATCTTCCCATGTCAGTAGTGTACTGCAGTGACTACATTCTTAATGACAATATGTGGATATGCTTAATTGACTAAATAATTAATCGCTTACTATTGAACATTTTGATTGTTTATAACATATTCATAATTGCAAGTAGCCACAATGAGCATCCTTTCTCAGACATCTTTACTGTATTGTATTTGTTTAATTTTCTTCTTAAGACAGAGCCCAGGAAGTTAACCTACTGAGTCAAAATATATGCTGCATATTTTCAGGATGCCTGGGAGACATCTTGACATTTTCAGAGTCAAGGTACAAAAAGCCCACATTTTTGCTACTGCCTGTCTTGAACTTGCTTCTAATTTGCTTCTACTGATGCTAAACATACCTGTTCTGCAGGTAATGAGGTTAAGAACAACCTCACTATTCAGAGTGGTTTTTATTTCAATCCAGCATAAGTCTGGCTATATAGTAATACAATAAATATTTACATAATGGCAGTTCTGATATTTAGCCAGGATGTACAAATTCAGCCCACATCCATCAGATTGATTAGTGCCCATGCCTTAAAAGTTATTAAATTTTTTAATACAACTCCTAGATGGTAATATTCTCATTGTACTAAGGTATACAGCATAAGGCCCTACTCCAAACAGCTCCACCTTGCCTGAGCTTTTTGAATTTCCCTTACAGTAGCCATGCTGTCATTTCTCACAACTTGTTATCAGAAGGATATTCTCATAACCTCAGACTTTTTGTTTGTTGCTTCTACGAGTCATTTTTACATATTTTAAAAGGGAAGTTGTCTCACCCAGGAGCCAAAAGAAAAGGTCCTATTGCTAAATTTGTCTAACTCGTTTGTAAAGATGAGATTTTGATGAGACCACAAGACTGGGGCAACTTAGGTTTTTCTCAAGCTCACTGTGGAAACAGCGTAAGACCCCTTTACAGAATCAAAGTTGTTCAAGACCTTAATACTTTATCATCACACGGGAGTTTTAAACATAGAAAAAAATCAACAGTAGCCTCAAAATTTCTACATAGAATGGCAATTGGGTGGGAAAAGGATATTAGGGGGCCTATCTTTAAGATTTCATTTGAGGGTAGATGGGTGGCACCCACTCCACACCATCAAAGCATGTTATTTCTCTAATAATAATTGAAGACCTCCTTGGTATGTTATATTAACTTGCTCTCCTTAAATTAGCTCATTCTTTCATCCCAATTTCTGACCAGGTGAAAGTCTGTGGAGAGTGTGTGTGTGTGTATGTGTGTGTTATTCAGTAAAATATCACTCATTGGGCACCTTTAACAAACTAAACCACCTAAGTAAACTTTTCAAATTAAAGCATCTCTATTTAAGAGCCAAATTCTTCTTTTTTTGTTAAAGGAGAAAAATATCAATCTGTGTACTGTTCTTACAGAAATAGTTTTTAAATGTATCTTGCTTCAAGGGAGGTATATGAGTAAATCTAATAAAATCGGGAGGAATATACTTACAGTTTGATTGTTATGCCAAACGCCCTCCGAAGGCTGTGTCACGGTGCCATTCCCATCTGCTCAACAAGAATGAAAATTAATTAGAATTACAAAAAATATTGAATTTTCCCTACAGACACTAAACATATTCACATTGCCTTCTAGTGATGGATGAAAAGTTGAAATACTATAGGCATGGTAAGAGTCATACCAAGTTATTAATATTTTATTAATTTATCCTATAAAGTTGTGATTCTTAACCTTTATGTCATGGACTCTTTGAAAATGGACTCCTTTTTCTATTTATGAAAAAAAATGCAATGTATGTACAGACAAAGTATTACCTACAATTTTAGGGGAATCACAGAAGCCCATTCTTGAAACCAGGTTAAGAATGCTACTTAAAGGTAATCAATATTTTCATGCTACTCAAAAGCTGTCAGTGAGTGCCCAGAGACCATATGTAAGCACATCTAAAGATCAGAACCACCCTATTCAGAATGGACATTAAATTGGTTTTACATTCAAAATTAGAGTAAAATGTACCATGATATCCACAACAGGCAGCATATATATATATGATATATGATATATGATATATGTCAATGTGCCTAGACTTTGATCCAGAAGTACCTTAGAAAATGTCTGTTATATCAGCCACAAGACCACTGTATCTTATGCCATATAAGGATTAGGATTTTATATGGTATAAGATATATTGGTCTCAAAGTTCTGAATATTCAAATTTTCAAAGTGTTTTGAAGTATCTATTTTGTAATAGAGAATATATGTTGTTGGCTTTCCTAGGTAACCATAGGTCAAATACAGAATCTTTTTTTTAGGGAGTATATACCACATACTGTGTACTTTCCATCTTAACAAACAGTTTCTTAATCCCATTTTATAGATGAAGAAACAGACATGGAATGGTCAAACAAGTTTCCAGTTTTAGTAAATGACAAGAGCCTCTGCTGGTAACCACCACACTTACTGCACTGCCATCAAACGGAAATCTACAGTTCCATTAAATTCCCTAAATACTGACACAGCTATAGATCCCCAACATAAGCAAAATTGGACTAATCATATCCCCCAAAATATATGCATTACCGTGTTTATATTTTACTCATTCTGAGACTACTTCTTAGAGAGCCAAAGGCAATATCTAGGTTTAGGCAATTTTTAGAGTCTAGGTTCTGTTTGTGACTTGTGTTATGATATTCTTCTCCTAAGACCTTCAGGGAATGGGACTGGGTGACGCTAATGACATCTACTAGCAATATGACCTTGATACTCAAGGTCCTTTGCATACACACATAGGCATGTATGTACCAATGTATGTATGTATATGTACATGAAGGTGTGTGTATATATATAATTCTAGCTAACGTACCCTGAACTACAAGCTAAAACAGTATACATTTAATTTGTTATAATTTAAATTAGGTAAAGTATGTAAAGCACTTAACACTGTGTTGAATAAACATCACCCATTATTGTTATTATACAATGGAAGGAGCAAGGAAGAAGGTGGAAGGATACTGTACAATGCACTTTCCACATATCATATACTTTAAACATCCAGTGAGGAAAGTTCAGCAACTTGCACACGGACACGCAGCTGGTAACTGGTGGCTGAATTGAGAGCTGTGTGTCTCCAAAGTAGAGCCATAGGGCCTCCCCAGTCTGGCAATGGCAATGAATATGGGCTACCTCAGAAGAATTAAATCAGACAGCTATGAGTTTCCTGGCACATATATCTGCCAAAGGTGGGTTGTGGGTCATATGACAACCAAAATCCCTTGCAGACCTAACATCCTTTGCTTCTATGAAGCTTTAGCCAACTGAGGGCTGACTTGGGTGAAGCGAGGACTTGGCCTGAGGGTCTCATATATGCAGCCAAAATGGCAACAGTCACACAAATCCTGGGACACAGCTGCTCCAATGTTTGTTCCTCTCTAGAAAGCTCTACCTTGACCAGGTTTTAGTGACATGATATTTTAGAGAATTCTGATTCCCCACTCCTACTTTCTTCCTCCTCACACCCTAAAAGAGTCGGGTGCAGCTGCTCCTACTGCTGTTACCTTGTGTTTTTATCTATTTTCATTTTGTTTTTGTGCCCAGAAACAGTGTGTACCAAGGATTCCACTTTCAAAACCAATTCCCAACTGAATGAGGCCCTCTGTGAATTTCACGGCAAGTCTATTTTAAATTAACCAGCTTTCAGGAATACTTGGCAAAAGATCCCCCCCATGGTGGGGGGAGGCCTGCCGATTGGCAGCTCCTGAACACAATGAGTCACACACTCCAGGAGTCCTGCAAGACTTGACCTTGTTTGGATGTGGCACAAGGACATATTAGCCAGCTCTAACACTCCCATAATTTACCAATATGGGCAACAGAAAGAGTTAGCTGGGAAAGATAACAGGATTCAGTATCACCTTTCACCCTCACAAGGAAAGACAGCTCAATTCTACATTTCTAAAGCGTAGAGATTATATGAGACCTGCCCAGACTCAGGAGAGTGGGAAAGACTGGAGGGCAGTGGCAGGATCTCAGTGGGGTATGTCTGTTTGGTGGTGTTGGTGTCCTTAACCCATTGTCCAAGTTTGTTCAGGCTGCTATAACAAAATACCTCAGACTGGGTAATTTATAAACAACATAATACTATTGCCTACAATTCTGGAGGCTGGACTGGTCCAAGATCAAGATGCAGGCAGATTGGCTGTCTGAGGGACCTCTCTCTTCCTCACAGATGGCACCTTTTGTGTGTACTTATGTGGGGAAAGGGACAAACAAGCTCCCTTAGGCCACTTTTAAAAGGACACTAACCCCATTCATGAGGGCAGAGCCATCATCTCCCAGATGCCTCATTCTTAATACCATTGCTTTGGGCATTAGTTATCAACATGAATTTTGAGGGGACACAAACATTCAGACCATAGCGTTATCTCAGAATGCTCATTAAATACAAGCTTGACAAGGCAGCAGTCTTGTCTCCCAGCTATATTTAAGGTCTGGAACTTGGAGAAAGCATGGGTGGCCAACTTGATCTAGATACCAGAAGGCTAGATTAAATTGTTTTAAAGCCCTGGCCCAAGGAATCAAGTCCATTAATAAGTCTGGAGTCAAGATTGGTTGATTTGATTTATAAAAAAAAAGTAATGTGCATATGGATGTTCGCAAATCAAACAAGCTAACTGTGCCAGTCAGGCATATGGATTATAGATATTCTAAGTAATAGTAATAATTGCTATTGTATCTCTCTCTCCTTGTAACTATGTCCCAAGCCCTTCATCTCATTTAATCCTCACAAGCATTCTACAAGATCAGTGATATTATATCCATTTTACAAATGACAAAACATATTCAGAGAGGGCAGACATTTGTACAAGTCACATAGCTGGTTTGAGTGGCTGGCGATGGCACTCAACTCAGATCTGTCTTATTCCAGAGTGTGTGCTCTCAATAATGTCAATGGTTATCAAGATTCAAATGTTTACAGGTATTCAGGAAAAAGAATGCAGTTACCTGTTGGGTGAGAGTACAATGGTGAGCTGGTGGGCTGTGTCCCTGTTTCCCACAGTGTCGTAGACTGGGTTTCTGCTGGCTGACTTGGAGAAGGTGAAGTAGATACTGGAATGAAAAAAACAGAAGAACTATGCTCCATTTGTGGAGAAAAATTTGCAGCCACAACAAAAATAAAGAGCAAAATTAAAATCAGGAATTACCATCAACTTCCCACAGGGTCTTCACCTAGATTCTTTTAGGAGGCATGCATGGCTCCCACCTACCCACTTCTAGCCCTTTCTCTCCATTAGAAATTTACTCAAAGATGGCTTTCTAGCATTACACTGCTATCCAGTTATTTTATTATCATGAGAACATGTAATCTAGATAATGTTCTAGGTAGTCTTATCAAAATACAGGATTATCTCACCCTTTCTATACTCCTAGGTTCCCTCTAAACATACAAAGCCTACAACAGCACATCTTATGTAGGATATCCACTTAAACTTTTATTTTATTCATTCAAGTGACATTTCACTTTCAGGGAACAGGGCCTGGGAGGTTGTACCACCTCCCATACCCCCTTCACAAAAGCTCCCATCTGGATTTCCTGGCCTTATTCAAGTTCCAGGTCATCCATACATCTTTCCAGGGAGGTACAAATATTAAACAACACAGAATAGGGCCGAGCCCGTGGCGCACTCGGGAGAATGCAGCGCTGGGAGTGCAGCAGCGCTCCCGCTGCGGGTTCAGAACCTATGTAGGGATTGCCGGTGCGCTCACAGTGCTCACTGGCTGAGAGTTGTGCAGCCGATCTCAAAAAGGACAAAAAAAAAAACACAGAATAGATACTCACAATATTTAATTCCTTGAGGTCTCTTCAAGGTGGGAATATTGCCCAATGTCTTGGCCTGGGTAATGATTTGCAACCCTCAAAGCAAGGTTCCTGGTGGACCCTGACCCCGGTTCCTTCTGCGTCTGCATTCTAGTCATTCCTTTCTGAGGAATGATTTCCTGTGTTTTCTGACTCATCTTTCATTGCTCGCCAAAAAGTTTCCATTAGAAATTCTCCAATACGGAGCTATGTGTCCCTTCCTTTTCCCGAGATCTCTCCTTTATTTCCTATCAGATAGCTCACCTCACCTGCAGAGTTCTGTGTTTTGTTTGTTTGTTTGGTGTCTGGCTGGTATAGGGATCCGAACTCTTGACCTTGGTGTTATAATACCATGCGTTAACCAACTGAGCTAACTGATAAGCCCCTTCATCTGCAGAGCTGATCACTTGCCTTTTATAAAAGGTCTTTACATGATTCTTCTCCTAAGCACCACAGGGTTTTAGAGCAAATTTGTGGTGGTGCTGGACAAAAACTCCCAATGCTGGGCTTTTCTCATCGCCTCTCATTAGTCTTTCATTTTCCCCTTCACCACCCCAGTCTTGATAACTTCACCTTCAACATCACCCTTTCTCATGTTCTGAACTGCTTTTCCCTTTTTCTCTATTGCTCAAACCTATCAGAGGATGTGGCTTTCTTTAGGAGCTAAAAAAAGGACAACGCAAGAGAGTCAGATGGTCAGAGCCTTTACCCAAATTAGTTCTGTGCAAAAGACCTCTTGAGCTTAACTTCTTCCCCAAATTTGGGTCATCTTTCTTTCTCTTCTGCTCCTACAACCTTACATGCAACTATTCCATGACTATTTTAGGCAGCTAACATGTATTAAAGGCACTGAGCACAAGGAGGAATGTATGTAAAAACGACTGTCCCTGCATTAGATTAGCTTCAGTGTTCACCTCCTTCCTGTACCATAAAGTTCAACTCTAAATTCCAACTCTTTCAGAAACTATCAGGATAAGAATAAGGCTCAATTGATACTAGCCCCCAGGAGGTTGTATGGACATATAAACCAACAATTTTCTTCTAAATATCAACTTTAAATGAAGTTAATAACTTATGCATCTTCACCAAACCAATTCTACTGATCCATTTACCTTAGTAGGCATGAACTAAGAATTCAAAGTTAAATCAATATTCAGAATGTCTAACAGATTCTCTAGCGTATTCAGCCACCTAGAACAAGCTGTTTTTCTTACAAACTTTTATAGCTCTAAAGTCCCAGCTATAACCTAAAGCCCTCTCTTCCAAACTCAGCTCATAGCCCAATCCTTCAGATCCCTCCTGGTTAAAAACTGTAAAACTGCTAAGGGAAAACGTAGGGGGAACACTTCAAGAAGTAGGACTGGGCAAAGACTTTATGAACAAGAGCTCAAAAGCACAAACAACAAAAGAAAAAATAAATAAATGGGATCATATCAAACTAAAAAGCTTCTGCACAGCAAAAAAAATAATCAACAGAGTGAAATGACAACCTACAGAATGGGAGAAAACATTTGCAAACTATATCCAACAAGGGATTAATATCCAGAATATATAAGGAACTCAAGCAACTACACAGTGAAAAAACAAATAACCTAACTAAAAAATAGACAAAGGAACTGAATAGACATTTTTTGAAGGAAGACATACAAATGACCAACAGGCACTTTAAAAAGTGCTCAACATCATTAATTATCAGGAAAATGCAAATTAAAACTACATTGAGATACCACCACCTCACTCCAGTTAGACTGGCTATAATCAAAAAGATGATGAATAACAAATGCTGGCAAGGGTGTGGAGAGAAGGGAACGCTCCTGCACTGTTGGTGGGACTGTAAGTTAGTACAACCACTATGGAAAACAGTACAGAGGTTTCTCAAACAACTACAGATATATCTACCATATGATCCAGCAATCTCACTTCTGGATACATACCCAAGGGAATGGAAATCATCATGTTGAAGGGATACCTGCACTCCCATGTTCACAGCAGCTCTGTTTACAATAGCCAAGATATGGAACTAACCTAAATGTCCATTGACAGATGACTAGATAAGGAAAATGTGGTATATATACACCATGGGATACTACTCAGCCAAAAAAAAGAAAGAAATTCTACCATCTGCAGCAACATAGCAACATGGATGAGCTTGGAGAAAATTATGTTAAGTGAAATAAGCCAGGCACAGAGGAAAAAATACTGCATGTCCTCACTCATAAGTAAGAGCTAAGAGAGAAAGAAGGGAAGGAAGACCACAGCAATACGTTGGACTTGCAGAGGGAGAGAGCATACCTAGGGTTGCTGGGAGTGGGGGGTTGGGGGATGGGTTTGGGGACTAACTGGGTGGGGGACGTGGAAATTAATCATAATTTGTGGTAATTGACATACTGATAGTATTGATCTGACCATCACATTTTGGGCACAGGTGGTGACAGTCAGCTTTTTACCCCATGAATATGCATAATCAATAAAAACAAACAAACAAATAAATAAATATACACATGGCTTAATGGGAGTCGAGGGAAATCAATATGTTCCATCAGATTTTTCTAGCTAAGAGGCTATGACATTTCTGGTACTCCTCAGAATCCAGAGTTACCTCAAGGGGTCAAAGGGTTTTGGGGGCTTTGAGAATCTGCAACAAAAGATATCTTTTTAATCACAGAAATAGAAGATTTGAAACTAAACTTGTCCTCAGTATGACAAGCTATTTCCCCATGTGTAAGGGAACTTATTCTCCATTTGTATTAAATGTAAACTCTTATCTGTGGGAAATTTGAAGTATGAACCATATGTCCTGAATTGAAAAAATAAACATGTACTACCTAAATTCCTTAAGTCCTTAAATATAATGTTTACTTTTGCATCAGTATAAATAGCATCTTTTGCAATTTCCATGCTACATAAATAAAGGACCCTTGAAACAAAACTGTGTAAGTCACTCACTGCTCCCAAAAGACAGGGTAATTGTATAAAGTCTTTTTTAGTGAGGATGTCAAATTAGGACCTATTTATCCAGACATAAAGCTCAGTGTTCATGGTGGGGGCTCAATCCGGTAGTTAAAAACACTACCCCCAAAATCGAATGAACAGAGATTGGGTCCTGACTCAATCACTTTTTACCTGTATGACTTTCAGCAATTAGCTTTTAGATTCTGTGTCTCAGTTCCAACAACTATAAAACAGGATTAAATCATACCTACAATGAATATTGTTGTCCTAAGAATTAAATGACACAAAGCTAAAGCATGTAACATGGTGCGTGGTGCATAGGAAAAAGTAAATGTTAGATTCATTGAAACCTTAACCTCAGCTGGAGGGTCCAACTTCAGAATTACTTAAATGATCTCTACTCAGAGCTCCTTGTAAGGGCAGAATCTCATTAGCCTGACCCTTGTTCTCTGGGACACCCTATTTTTTGTCATAAAGCTGTGCTCAACTGGGCCAGATCCATGCCACCCTTTTTGGATCAGTGGCCCAGCTATTTTGGGGTAATTCTGAATCCCTTTGAGAATGAGATAAAAAGTCATGGGTTCTCTCACTCTGAAAATGCTTCTATGTACAAAAGATGCATACAATTTGTGAAGCGGGAAGGACCACAGACTCTGTGAAGCCCATGTTTGGAGCCCAGGTAAGAACCCTGACCCTAGACTGTATTTCTGCCTTGACACATGGACCTGGATAGTCTACAGCCTCTCATTAGAAGGCCTCCGGGCTTTGAAACACATCCATTTTACCTGGTTTGTGGTTCTGTGTGGGTGCTGGTGTTGGAAGAGCAGAAGTAGAGACTCTAGGTGATGTTGGAACACTTGTTTTTCCTAGTAGAGTTAGTAACAACATGAAAGCAAAGATCAATCAAGAAGCAAGAAACTAGAACCTCATGCTGGAACTCTAGGCAGAAGGATCTCTCCTGAACTCTTGCTCTTTGCCATTGGTCATCTGGAATCTGTGACAGGGTAGGGCTTTGAAGGCCTGCTCACAAAATAAAAGAAAACAAAACAAAACAAAAAAAGGAAGCAACTGCATTGAAAGGGAGGCGAAAACAGATATCTCATATTTACATTGAAGCACTTTTTAGAAGGCCAGTCATGCAGATTTGCAGATGAGCATATCTTCATAAACATCTCTTGTGAGGCAGGGGAAGTGTCTAGAGCCTGGAACTGTTCTTTGTCCTCTCGGTGAATGACTGAGACGTAAATAGTAGTCCTCAGGCCCAGAATGTTTACCAAATAAAGAGCGCTCAGTTCAGTCAGTCCTGAGTGTACATGCCCAATGGATGTGCATCTTAACTGAGGGGCGACTCCGCTAGACAACAGGGGAGGGCCAGCACAAAAGACTTACACTTTCTGTTAGAAGGTGGACAAAATCTTTTAAGGTTTCTTCCCACCTAAGAGATCATTTACAAATTTACAAGAGGTAATAACCTCTTCCAGAGTCAGAAGTGCTATAGGAATCCCAACAGCTGACCGAAGGTCTCAGAGCTACCCAGAGAGAGATCCGAGACTAGAATGAAACAGAAATCCTGTTACACAAGCAGTCAGTGAAGAATGACTCAAAGGTGATATATCGACACAGCAGTACCTTATATTACCTACTTTTTATGTTTGAATTCCATTCGAGTTTTAAGATGTTAAAAATAGACATTTTAACATTCTTCTAAGATAAAATTTCAGAGAAAAGCGGCAGTTTTTTAAGTTGAATAAATTCAGCTTGATAAAAATATTCACGATATTCCATTATGTCACAATGAATGCTATTTCATGGACAACTAGCACGTTTGAAGCACTACTTTAGGAGACAGTTTGCTGATTCTACTCGATGGCCTTGAATCAAGGTTGGTCTTATGACTTCATCTACACAAATGAAAGTTATCCTATTTCCCAAGAGCAAGAGTTTATTGGAAAACAGGATTATAGAAATTTCCTCTTTCCCTACAAAGGCAGAGAGAAAATTACTACCAAACAGAAAACTCAGTTAATCCACATGAAATGATCAAAGAAAAGAAGACAAGCTTACCTGGTTTAATCTCCAATGATAAGGTGACTTTCATGTCATTGAACCACCCCCTGTGTTCAACACGGCAACAGTACAGGCCACTGTCAGCCTCAGTTGCATTCTCTATGGTCAAAGACACGTTCCCTTTCAAAAGATACCCCTTTAGCTGATAACGCATGTGCTTCTGAAAGGTGACATGAAATCCATTAGTCCAGATAATCTCATCTGAGCATTTAAACATAGGACATTCCCTTCGGCCCCAGCACATGGACGTGACCTCTCCATTAGCCACTGAATAGGTACAGGGCAGCGTGACAGGCTGACCCACCACCCCACTCACTTTTGTATAAGAAACTACAGCACCTGCAGTAAAGAGAAGAGAAACAGAGAATGAGGCCTCAATATTTTCTTAAATTCCTTTTGTACTTTTTAATTAATTAATTTTTTTTTTTGGTGTCGTTTTCTTTGTAAGCATGACCTTAGAGCTTGAATTTTTTAATTTGAATATTATAAACATTTTTATGCTAGCATATTCTTCATTAATACTATTATGTAGTAAATATATTTGTGGATAAAATAATTTATTGTACTATATAATATTCAAGCTGTTTCTCATTTTTACCATTGCAAATAATATCCCAAAATCTTTCTACAAAAATCTTTTCTGTATTTAGGTTTTCAAAAGAATAGTTTCTAAGAGAGAAATTACTAGGATAAAGGACAGGAATATTCTCAGTCTTCTGAAGAATATGGCCAAATTGCTTTCCAAAGGTTTGAACCAAATGACATTCAGGTAATACATGAATGTGCATTTCACCCTGTGTTTGCCAGGAATCTGCTTGTTATTGATTTTTAAATCGGTAATACATGCATGTGGCTTTTTAAAATGAAAACAGCACCAAAGGGTATGTAGTGAAAAGTCTCCCTCCATGTCAGTGCCCCAGTCCCCTCTCTCTCAGATTCAATCACGTTATCAGTGGAAATGCATTTTTAAAAAAATCAATTCTATTGCATTTAAATTTCAAATTGTTGATTTATATTGCAATTTTTAAACTGCTATTACAAATGAAATCATCTCACGTCTTCCTCCCCCACTGCCCCCAAAGAAGCACAGGTAATGTTTTATTTAAAATATTGTTGGCTTAAAGGCAGAAGTCTAATAAACTTTGGAAATCAGTTTTTAGAAAATGGGTTTATAATACTTGCAAGAGGAGCCGAGACTCATTATGGGCTTTAGGATCAGTCCAAAAAAAAAACCTAAGCAAGGGTCCCTTCTTGTAAATTGATCGCAGTGAGCAAGGCCCATTTACCCAGGTAAAACCACAGAATTGGAGGATATTCGATCAAGTACTAAATTATGCCACTTAACACAAAACCAAAACCAAAACCTCTCTTTTGGGGTAGTAGAATAAAAACCCTGTTGCCAAATGCATTCAAGGTAGCCCTTAAAAGAAATCTGAGATTCACTAACTAATCATATTTAGAACTGGGCTGTGAGTTTGGAAGATACTCTGGGTAAAAAATGCTCATTGTTATATAAAAGAGTATATATATTTCTCACTGGAATTCTGATAACTTAATTTTGCCTAAGATCATTTTTTTTGGATTACAAATATAAAGCATGCTATTATAATTAGGTTATAAAAGTATGTAATAAAAAATGAACTTTCCCCTGTAATACTACTCTCCGGAAATTAGTTTTTAAAATTTAGAATATGTCTATTCCAATTTTTCCCCCTATTTCATAGAATGTTTTGAATTAAAATATTTAAACAAAATAATTGAACATGGTAAAAAAAAAAATCAAAAGGCACAAAAGAGTACAATGAAGGGCTAACTCTCCCCTCCACCCCATCTCTCATCCCCCACCACCGTTACTATTCCTCATATACTTGTGTCTATTCATACCCACCCCTTTTTTGTTTAAATACAAATGGCAACATGTGACACACTGTTCTGCATCTTGCCTTGCTCTCTTGGCCATGGATTTATACTTCACAGTAGTTAAGCAGTTTCTTTAGAGTAAGATTTCATCCTGGTTCTCTGCTCACTAGTTAACCCATAACCATCCAATAATGCCCAAGGAACTCCATCTTCCTCCCCAACTCTTACCCCACATCCTTCCACTCCCCCGTCCTCTGGACTTCCAACTCCCCCAGCCCACCTACTCACTTACCTGTCAAAAGTAGTATAAGGCTTAAGATGACTTCCTGAGGGTGCATTATGGTATCAGCCTGAATTAAAATGAGAAGAGAGACTGGTATCTGGACAAGTCTTAATTCTCAGATTGCAACTTCTCCTTTCACCCTGACTGGTGAATCACACGCACCTCCCCTGCTGGGGATGAGAGAAGACCACGTGTTAGCTTCAGATGGCTGAGGGTTCTACACCTTCTGATGGACCGAGAAAACCGCCCTTGGAAACAGCCCCTTATTTCCCAGCTCCTTCCCCCACACAGTGTCCCAACTGACTCCTGGTCCTGACAAAAGAGATAAGAGAGCAAACAGGAAAGAAACTGGAGGCAGAGATAAACAGTGTGGCTCAATGGCACAGCACTAGAGCAAAGACCGGCCTTCCACTGTCAGAGATGCACTTGATTTTGGCCATGTGCTGGTCATAGGGCCCTTCCTGCTCTGTGGCCACAATGATCAGTCCCTAGATTCAACCAGTCATATTGCTAAGTTTGCCATTGGCAAGATGAATTGAGCAAGCATGTGAGTCACTCTGCCTGACCATTCATGCTACTGGGCACAATGACTCACCCTGCATCTTACTGAGGGATGTCAAGAGAATGCTTCAGGAAACGGAAGTCCGGACCAGACTGGGGTTCAGATCCAAGCTCTGCCATTCACAAAGCTGCGTAAACCTTAGAGTTACTGAACCCCCACACTTTGATTTCCTTGTTTGTAAAGTAGCACTAAAAATACTTGCTCTGTCTCCCTCAAAGTTGTAGTATAATGAGCAAAAGGGCTGTGGGAGAACTCTAAAAACTAAAGCCAAATATGCATTAATAACACTAGCTTAGGTTTTTGGAGCAAATTTACTAGGCAGCAGGCTCCGTGCCAAGCACCCACACGCATTTAATCCTCACGGAACACATTGGGTAGGTGCTGTTATTCATCCCATTCATGGATGAGGAAGCTGAGGCTTGGGGGGCTTAAGCCAGCTTGGATTCCAGCCTTTCTGGCCCTTAAGTTTTGCTCTTAATCATTAAACTGTGCAAACACGAGTAACCCTGCCTAGTACTTCATTCACACCCCTCTGGTCTAAAGATTCAGTAACTTTCTTCGAGGAGGCAATGGTGCTCCATGGCTGGCCTTCTTACCGCCTATGACAGGCTTCATGGAGAAGTGGGTGGGCTTGGCATACTATGGCCACAGGTCCCACATGGCCTGGGAGTAGGAACCCCAAACCTCAGCAGCCTCTGTACACAGAAGAAATCTGAAGCCTGATGCTACAAACTGGTGGCCCAAAGACGATATTGGGCCTGCAGAAGTGTTTTGCACGGCAGTGTTTAAAACTTTATTACTAATTGATGGCCAAAACTTAAAAATCCAGAGAGTCCACAAGAAACTCAGCTTTCAGACTTTCTGTGAAATAAAATTAGATGGCAACTGTTTTAGTCCATGTGTTGCTATAACAGAAATACCTGAGACTGGGTAATTTATAAAGGAAAGAGGTTTATTTGGCTTATGATTCTGGGACAGCTGCATCTGGCACGGGCCTCAGGCTGATTCTACTCATGGTGGAAAGTGGCAGGCAGCTGGTGGGTACAAGCAGATCACATGGCGAGAGGAAGCGAGACTGGGTAATTTATAAGGAAAAGAGGTTTATTTGGCTTATGATTCTGGGACAGCTGCATCTGGCACGGGCCTCAGGCTGATTCTACTCATGGTGGAAAGTGGCAGGCAGCTGGTGGGTACAAGCAGATCACATGGCGAGAGGAAGCAAGAGAGAGAGAGAAAGTGCCAGGGTCTTTTTAAGCAACTAGCTCTTGCGGGAACTAATTGAGCGAGAAGTCACTCATTAACCCCCCTTTCCCCAGGGAGAGCATTAATCCATTCATGAGGGATCTGCCCCCATGACTCAATCAGTTTCCAACACTGCTACATTGGGGATCAAATCTCCACATGAGTTTTGGAGGGGACAACACATCCAAACTTCATCAGCAACACATGGCCCATACCACTCTATCTCCTTAGAGCTCTCCAGCCCCACTTGGGGGGTTTAAGTGACTCATGTAGGCCTTGGTTGGAAGGAGGCCCTTGCCTTAGACCTTCCTTCACCTTGTTGAACACAACTCCCTCCTGTCATTGGGGCTCCACACAGGCAGTCCCATTGAAATCATCCTTTCATAAAATGAAGGAGTTGGACCATGGTCTTTAATAGCACTTTCAGATTTATAATGCCAAACTTTCTCCGCCCTCTTGAATTCAATGGAGTAACAAGATGAGTTCTACCAAGAAATAATCATGTTTCTGGGTACTTTCTGTCTTCTTATTCTCTGCCTTTATATGCATGGAGGAGACACTGTTGATCCCATATCAACCACCAAAAGTGAGGGGACAAATGCTGAAATGGCTCACACAGAATTAAATCATGCCTTATTCATTTGGGAGACAAAATATTTTGTAACTAGTGTTATTATACTCTGAGACTGGGCCAAATCCCAGTAGGTCAATGATAAAGATATTTTTAATTTAACTAACTTTTGCCAGTTATTACTAATCCATTGAGGCTAATGGGACATGATTCAATATCCTAAGGATATAAAAAATCCAGGACTGTGCAATTGGCCGGAGACACAGGTAAGTGAGCAACTAACTAATAAAATCAGGCAGAATGATACAAATTGTAAATATATAATCAGACCATGTCACCTCCCCACTTACAACCCCCCACCCCCTTAGCTCTCTCAAGAAAAAAAAAAAAAAAAAAAAAAAAGAAGAAGAATTCGTAACTTCTTACACAGATAACAAATCCCTGGTAATCTGGCCCCTTCCTACCTCTTAGACTTCTCCTCCTCCCACTCTATCCCCCACCCACTCAGGCTTTCTTTCAAATTTGCTTCTACTTCAGGGACTTTTCCCTAGCTGTGCTCTCTGTCTAGCTCCTTATTCCTCCACCCCATCATCTTCACATCTTTCCTTTTTATTCTGATCTCCGCTTAAATGTCACCTCCTCAGACATCCTTCTGGTCTCTCAGTCTAAAGTCCCTCTCCCTACTCCCATCCCATTTTAATTCTCTACACAGCACTTGTTACCTTATTTCCCTTAATATGTTTATGTGTGTATGTGATGTGTTTAGTGTCTCTCCTCTTTCCTGCACAGTGCTGTCCAAGAGAATGTTTTCTGATGGTGGAGTTATTCTGTATGTGCTGGGCAAGACATAGCCACTTGCTACACGTGGCTATTGAGCACTCAAAAAGTGACTAGTACACTAAGAAATTAAGTTTTTTTTATTTAACTTGATTTTAATTAAAATTTGAATTGCCACACATGGCTACCGTGTTGGACAGCACCCAACTGTAGACCACAAACTCCTTCAAGGCAATTTAAGGATTGATCACATAGATAAATGGATGGAAGTGCAAAGGCATGGAGAGAATGCATTCATTTTTGAGGATTCTGAAAAAGTGACATGTGAGGTTAATAGTTGAGGAAGAATGGGGGTAGAGATGGAGAGTATTTTAAGTGGAGAAAATGATTAGTAAGAGCCAAGACAGGGACATGGAGCCAAGACAGGGACATGGAACCAAGTCTCCAGAATGTTAAATAAATACAATTCCACAGGATTAAATTTTCTGACATAAGCCCATCTCCCACGGGAGCCTCCACTGTTTCCTGAAGAACCCCCAAACCACATAGCACAGTGGATTCTCTTGCTTTAATCTGAGCCATACAACCTTCAAGAATCACTACTACATGAATCAACTTTTGACTCCTTGAAGTCTACATCCCAGTCAAGGGGTAAGGCTCAGCAAGGGGACAATACTCAGGCACCAAACCTGAATTTCCAGCTGCTTACTAGGGAGCTTCATCTGCATAAAGCAGGTTTATATGCAGTGAATTCCTAAATAGAATGAATTCATTGTTCTTCCCTGCAGCTACCACTTCCCTTGTCACCTCCAGCGCACGTCTTACCTGCAGCTCCAGCTTGCTGTAACCTAGTTCAACTGCTTGTATTCACCATGTTCTCACCAAAGCAAGGTCTCCTTAACCCCCTCCACAACTGGGGACTCACCATGTCTACCCCATTGCACCTGTCAGTCTTCCACTCACTCCCATCACTTCACATCAGGCATCTACCTGTAACCTAGACTTCTACAATCCCCTCCACAATCGTCTCCCTGTCTCCCACTCTCCCCTTCCTGCCCTGCCCACTGCCCTAAGCCAGCTAATTTGCTTTACTTACTACTCTGACTTAATAAAAAGTCATATGATGCTCATATTTTTGAAATCATAAAGATAGATATTAAAAGTACAAGGAACCCATGTTTCTCATAGAAAATATTAAAAAGTATACTAGTAAAAATGTATTCACTTAAGAAGTATTTATTGACTGCCTACAATATGTTAGAAGTGATTGTATTCATTTGGAATACATCAATGAGCCAGACAAAGACCCCCTGATGGCATGTCACTTGTATTTAACTGGAAGATAAATATATAAATTTTAAAAACATAATAAAAATGTTGCTTATTACCAGGTGATGGGTGCTTATGAAAAAAAAGGTAGAGCGGGTTAAAGGGGCTTGGGAGTGCAGGGCTGGGGAGGGGTCAGATTGCAATTTAAAATAAGGTGGTCAGCTTGAATATAGCATCTACTAAGTTCACTGAGAAGGTGATATTTGAGCAAAGACAAAGAAAAAGGGAATTAGCCAAGCCACAAAGAGCTTTCCACGGAAAGGAACAGGAAGGGCAAAGGCCCTAAGGCAGGAGGGTGCCTGCTGTGTTCACAGAGCAGGGGAGAGGCCAGTGTGACAGGAACAGAGTGAGGTGCAGAGAAGGCAAGGGGGCAGGCAGAGGACAGACACATGGGGCTTACAACTATGTTTGAGAAGGTATGCTTTCACTCCATGTGAAAAGGAGCACCACTGCAGGAGCTTAGGGGTAACAGGATCTGACTTCCTTTGAGAAGGACCACTGTGGCTGCTAGGTTGAGAAGCAGGGAGACCCATTAGGAGATGATTGCAGGAATTCCCAGGGGAAGGGCTAGCTG